TACCTCATAACAATCATCTTACAAGGTTATTAGTTGCAGATGCTCATGAGAGAACTTTGCATGGGGGTCCTCAACTTATGATTCAATATTTAAGGTCAGCCTATTGGATTGTCGGAGTGAAGAGCATGGTCAGACAACATGTGCGCAAATGTGTGACGTGTGTCAAACACAACGCTAAGGCTAATAACCAATTAATGGGCTCACTGCCTCCGGCGCGATGTACTCCAACAAGAGCATTTCTTCACAGTGGGTTGGATTATGCTGGTCCAATTCATCTGAGGACGACCAAGGGTCGAGGGCATAAGGCATATAAGGGATATATTTGTGTATTTGTTTGTATGGCTACTCGAGCCGTACATTTGGAGGTCGTGAGTGATTTAAGTACTGAAGGTTTCCTGGCGGCCTTTCGACGTTTTGTAGCCCGGCGAGGACATTGTGCTCAGATATGGAGCGACAACGGAACACATTTTGTGGGAGCTGCTAGAGAACTAAAGGAATTTATTACTACACAACGGAATATTGCAGAATTTATAGAAAGTAAGGGCTGTGCCCTTACTTTCTATGGCACTTCATACCGCCTCATGCTCCGAATTTCGGTGGATTATGGGAGGCGGCTGTGAAGTCCACTAAATTTCATTTAAAGAGGGTTATAGGAGAATCAACTCTGACTTATGAAGAGATGAGTACATTGCTTAGTCAGATCGAAGCTTGTCTTAATTCTAGACCCATGACGGTTATTAATGGTGAAGGAATCGATGAACCAATGCCGTTGACACCGGGTCATTTTCTAGTAGGTGAACCTTTAGTGACAGTCCCTGAACCCAACTATGAGACGTTATACATTAGTCCTCTTAAACGTTGGCAATTAATTCAGAAAATGTTGCAGAACTTTTGGCGGCGTTGGTCTGCAGAATATCTTACCACGCTGTTTCATAGATATAAATGGTCTTTTCAAAATCCTGAACCAGAGATCGGTGATGTGGTTCTGGTCAAGGAAACAGATTTACCGCCTGCTCGTTGGTTACTTGGTCGAATAATTAAAAAACATCCAGGGCCTGACAATATAACCCGCGTAGTCACCTTGAAGGTTAAGGGGAATAATTTGAAACGACCTACATCAAAGTTATGTGTTTTGCCGGTCAATGAATAAGTCCCGTTAGATACTTGTTGTCTAGTTCTTGTGACTTACTCACAAACATAATAAGGATAAATAATTTAAGCTTATAGCCCGTGCTATATACGAACAATAGTTCTCGAGTAAGTTCATTTCATTTGTAAGTTCATTGAAGATATAATAAGTTTAGTTTTTGAGTTTATTGATGTGTATAGATGTGTATAGTGCATAAGTTCGTATTGTAATGTTCAAACCTCATCAATGACATTATTGTTTAGTTCATTTTCGATCAATTGTTAAGGTTAAGGACATACTCTTCGATAATGTCCTTGGTGGGCGGTATGTTCAAGTAGCATTAAGTTAGATATATTATTTGTTGTATTCTGTATATTTCGCTAGATGGCGTTGTACAATTTTATAAGTCGATGTTAAGATTCTCAAGAGGTCAATGACCTCATGTGTTATTTGTAAATTTGGTGAGATTTGAGGGGACAGAGATCATTAGTGCTATCTCTTAGTTCCGATCCAATATAGGTCAGATATATATCCTACCAGGTTTTTTATTTAGTATCCTGTAGGAGTATATCCCGCCCAGTTCATCCCGACCTCGGTCAATAAACACTATTCGAAATCTAAATATCAAATAAAAATTAAGGACAATGTACGTAATCACAACTTTTGGATAAATAAAAGGGTGATAAATGCTTGCCTACACAGGGATGCAAAATTTGCAACTTGCAACTTAAACCTAAAATGTGACTATAACAAAGCTAGAAATTTTGCAAATAAAGTTATACAAAAAGCAAAGAATAATAGTCTTAGAACCGAAATAACTCATAACCAGCACAACCTACGTAACCTATGGCAAATCCTCAACCGAATTACAGGCAGAATGAAACAGTCCATAGACACTGTCATAGCAAATTCGCTAGTAAAAAATGGTGAGAGCAGTCAGGACGTCGGCAACAAGTTCGCGCAAACATTTGTTAACAACGTAAAGTCTGTGACACATAATTGCTCTAGCCCATTGCTAAAGAAGTCCCTGTATACAAGACCAGTCAATGTAACAATGAGATTTAGACAAGCCACAAAAAAGGGTATAGAAAATATCATTAAGTCTACCAATATACAAAAAGCCCCAGGTTTGGATGGCATAAGGGTAATTGACTTAAAGAATCTATGCGGCAAAATAACATCTACCATTACCAACTTAATTAATATGAGTGTATCAAGCGGCGTCTACCCTGATAAACTGAAAACTGGTATAGTTAGACCTGTACATAAGAAGGGCAGTAAAGGTGAATACTCCAATTACAGGCCAATAACCCTCCTCCCAATTATAGATAAAATAGCTGAAAAGTACATAAGTAAAGAAATCTACGATTTTTTAGGTAAAAATAATATCCTTTCCACCAACCAGTATGGCTTCCAACCACATAAAAATACTTCCCAGCTCCTCACCGAATTTACAGACAGCATATACGACCACCTTAACAATAAACGACATGTAATGGTAGTTTTTATAGATTACAGCAGTGCTTTTGACACACTCAGACACCCAACATTGTTAAAGTGCCTGGAAGAGTGTGGTATTAATGGTAATATTTTGAAATGGTGCGGTGATTACCTGCGTAATAGAGCGTTCAAAGTGAGAGTGTCAGGTGAAGATAGCAATACCATGCGCGTGAGCGAGGGTATGGCTCAGGGATCGGTATTGGGACCATTACACTTTCTCACATATGTTAACAACTTGCAAAACTTGATTACGAAATGTGAAGTCTTTCAGTATGCTGACGACACTTGTCTTGTGGCAGCGGGAAATTCGGCCGAGGATGCATTGGTCAAACTCCAGTATGACTTCAATTTGTTGGTCAAATGGTCACATGACCTGGGGCTTGTGCTGAATGAAAGTAAAACCAAAATAATGTACATTAGCTCTAGTCGAAATAGATGTACCCACCAATTATTAGTGTGAGTGTTAATCCATTCGTAGGGCTCCAGATTTCGGGTCAAGAGATACTTCTCAGACGGCGTGCTCTTTTGTTTGTGGCCTTCTGTAATTGAGCTCCTAAGTGCCATCCGATACACTGGCAACCAGTCACGCGGCTCACAAGCAAGCGGGACCGCCATTTGCCGTCACCATAAATTTGCGAGGCAAACGACGTACTAGCCGACTCGGGCTGGTGTGGAGACAACCTGCAGGATTGTTGAAGAAGAGGCTCCTAGCAACATCTGCTCGGCCTTGACGCGCGCCGCTGGGGGATCTTTTTTTTGATATACCTACTATATATATATATATTCGATTTTAATTTTTATAACTTTGTAACAATCAAAAGAAATATACATGTATGTATGACTGAGGTGTAACTTGTGTTTCTCTGAAGAGTCCCTTAGGTTGCCCACACGCACACACATCTGTACCCCTCTGTTGTCGACAAGGCGCCCTGAGGTAACCCAAATTAATCTCGTGCATATCTCCGCTGGGTAAGCCGGTGAGTAGACCACCTGAAAGGTTCAGCGGTTCAACTCAACGACCGACATAGCCAAACAAAGACACACCAAATTTCAAAAAGAACAAGTTTAAAAATAAACAACACGCAGAGAAAAATCAATATAAACAAAGGATACCTCCTACCCACTTTTAGAAAGAAAATAAATTTACTCACCAATAGTCGTAATAAAATAATACTGTTTAAAAACAATAAAAACTTACTGACTTTCTTTAAAACAGTATACACAACCTTTAGCCGCCCGCAAACCGGAAACTAGTCGCAGAAAGACAGACAACAATATTTAAATTGTTAGCATATGAAGTCACACGTTAGTCGCACGGTGCCGCGAAGGGAAGTTTATATATGTAGCGAACCGTTACATTTACTTTCACTTTTTACTTAATATATTAAGACGTAACCTCTGTGCACCTACCTTACAAGATTTCTACACCACCCAAAGGTTGACTGGAAGAGAATGCCCTGGGCATTAAGTCCGCCGATGTACAATAGTGCATAAAGTTAATAAATAAATAAATAAATTAGACAAGTGAAAACCGCTTTGAAGTCTTTCGACCATTATCAGAATTATGAGACATGTTCGGGTAGGCGTGGATTATCGGGTAGGAAAACAATATTTCAATAAAATAACTGTTGCTATATCACTTCACTTATAATTCTTGATATCACAATCATTACTTTCACAAATTAATTAAGGATTACTAAGATTAGCACGGATTAGAACTTAACGTCCACCGACCACGTGGTTGCGTGCGCGCTCTCTGACGGTACGACACTAAATGTCCTTTATTACAAGATGGCCGCCTCACCAGTGCTCGGTGTTTGCTATGGCCTTTGACATATGACATCTGACAGTGACGTTTGACATTGACATATTCTAAAATGACATCAGACGTATTGAGAGGCGACTGCGCCGACACGGCCAATCCTGACAGTCGCACGACCTCGTGCGTGCTATGTCGTGCATCTACATGCTGTGACGTCTGTAATATAAATGAGTATACACATTAACATACGCTCGATCATTCCTGACCAGACTAAGATTCAATGTCATTGCCAGGTAATTTGGATCGGGCGTGCTAGGCCCTTACATCCGGTTATTCGACTGTGGTCCAGGTGTGCTAGGCCTCTTCGACTCTTACTCTTAGTGTGGTCCGGGCGCCCGAGGCCCTTTCAACCAACTGTCAAAGCATGGCCCGGGCGTACGAGGCCCCTTCAACCAGCTTTACTAAGTGCCAAAGCGTGGCCCGGGCGTACGAAGGCCACTTCAACCAGCCTTACTAAGTGCCAAAGCGTGGCCCGGGCGTACGAGGGCCCCTTTAACCAGCTTTATACTACACTGCTAAAATAGACATGTCTTATCGTACAAATCAAAATCATTCACTTCGGTGAACTTGAGCTTCGCCCATGACTATGTGAAAATCTTCTTCCGAAGCCGAGAGCGTACCAGAACTGGCAGTGAGAGTATTTTCACTAGCACTGGACGCTGTTTCGGTCTCAGTGTCCGAGGACTCTATTACGTCAGTGCCATTTTCACCGATCGCCGGCACGTCATCCTCGTCATTAATTAATGTTGTTGATATCTCTACCAAACCCTCGAAACCCTTAGGC